TTTGAACCGTGATCCTCAGATCTCAGCCTCCTGAGTAGCTAGGATGACAGGCGTGAGCCACCGGCTCACCTGGCAATGTGTAGATTTTTATTTTGAACATTTCCAACAGTGTTCCTGTATGCTCTGCCAGCTTCTCCCGCGGTCGGCATTGTGCATGAGTGAGGGGCCGGGTCGCTGTGTCAGCGGAGCCTCCTGGGATCCACTCTGCGTCACTCTGCACGCACAGTTGCACCTGCTGAGTATCTGCCCCCCTTCCTGAGCGCTGTCTTTCTCTTGTCCTGCAGTGTTCTCTCGAGGGCTGAAGAAGTCATCTCAAGAGCTATATGGCCTCATCTGCTATGGGGAGCTCCGCAAGAAAATCGGGGGCTGTGAGTATCGCTGCCCATTCCAGAACGGCAAAGTGGCACTCAAGTTACTCTTGTACATCTTTGGAGCCTATGCGGGGGCTGTTGGCACAGGGAACTGTCGGAGCCCTTGGCCCTGCAAGGGGTTCTCCTCAGGAACTGTCCTGGTTCACTGAGCTTGCCACTGTGGAGTCCCCAGCCCCACTGCTCTGCTCTGTCCTCTTGAGGAAGTACCTCTTGACCTATTTGTGTTTTCCCAAGCATGTGTGCATAGGCTGCTCTCTCTGAGCCCCTTGTAAAATGAATTTGAAACTTCTCTTCAACATACCTCGTTCTGCCTAGGGTTTCTGACTGGAGTCTCTGTCCTGTCCTGGAGTGTCCACACACTGATTATGTGAAGCACCCTCGTGGCTTCTCCGTGGGCTAGTGTCATCCATTTAGAAAAGGATTGTGAGCACTCAAGCTTGAGGGCAGTAAGTGATCTGCTTAGGGTTGTCTGCTTCTTCAGCCTGGAGAGGCAAGGTGGGCACCACCACCCTTGAATAGCGGTTCCTTGTTGGCTCCTTAGTCCATGCCTTCATGAGCAGAAAAGTTCTGTGCAAAGGTCTGCTTGGGCCTGGTACAGCGCCACAAGCCTAGGGGCTGGTGATGGGTGCCAGGGGGTAAGGTGTGGTATTCCTTATATCCGTGTCCTCTGAGACCATTCAGCCAGGGGCTGGAGCGTCTCAGGTCACCAAGGTGGGCTTCCTTGTCTCCTCTCCCCTTCCCCTCTTTCTGTCTTTCTAAGAACAAAGTCAAAAAGTCCCATGTGTCAACAAGGCCCATGTGTCAACAAGTGGTCTTGTTTCATAGCCTGCTCCCTCGGGCTTCACCCCCAGCTCTCAGTGTCTAACCTGCCAAGTGCAGACCAGACTGCAGGGTCTTGTGCCTGCCCCCCCACTCCCTCTCCTGAAGATGTGTCCTGAGCAGGTTCCAGGCCAGGTCTCTGTCCGGAGCTGCCACGCCCTCCACAGGCCTCTTGGCTGTGGCACAGGGAGGTGGGAGGCGGTGCATCTGACTCCATTTCCACGCGTGCTCACTGCATGTGCCCTCTCCAGAAGCATCATTTCCCTTTCAGCGGAAAACTGCTGAGTTTTTATTTATTTATTCATTTATTTTTGCCAGGCCTAGGGCTTGACTTACAGGCCTGGGCACTGTCCCTGAGTTTTTTCTGCTCAAGGATAGCACTGCACCATTTGAGCCACAGCGCCACAGCTGGATTTTTCTGTGTCTGTGGTACTGAGGAATTGAACGTAGGGCTTCATACCTGCCAGGAAAGCACTCCGTCAGTAAGTTACTAAAGCTTTTATTTTTTATTTTTTTGGTAGGTTGGTTGTCTTGAACTCTGGGGCTGCACGTTGTCCCTCAGCTCTTCAGCTCAAGGCGAGGGCTCTGCCACTTGAGCCACAGCACTACTTCCTGTATTTCTTATCAAGGAAGAAGCCAGTTGCACCAACTATGATTTCTTTTAGTTATTTACCCAAAAAACTTTAATTTTGTCTTTCTTTTTGGTTAGTCGTGGGGCTTGAACTCTGGGCCTGGGCGCTGTCCCTCAGTTCTTCAGCTCAAGGCGAGCGCTCTACCACTTGAGCTACAGCACCACTTCCGGTTTTCTAGTGGTTTATTGGAGATAAGAGTCTCACGATGTTCCTGCCCAGGCTGGCTTTGAACCGTGATCCTCAGATCTCAGCCTCCTGAGTAGCTAGGATGACAGGCGTGAGCCACTGGTGCCTGGCTTTTAATTTTGTCTTTATTCTGAAAAAAAATTTTTTTTTGCTGCATATAGAATTCTGACTTGATAGTTTCCCTTTTCTCTCCCTCCTGTCTTCTCTTCCTTCACTGGCTTAAACCCAGGGAGTGCAGGTACCCGACAAGGGCGCTACCACCGAGACGTGTCCCCCGCCCCTCAGCTCCTCCTTCATTGAGTTCACATTGTCCAGGTCTGGCCGGCGCTGTTCCCCCGACCCTCAGCCCCTCCTTCATTGAGTTCTCACTGTCCAGGTCTGGCCGGCGCTGTTCCCCCGGCCCTCAGCTCCTCCTTCATTGAGTTCACATTGTCCAGGTCTGGCCGGCGCTGTTTCTAGTGAGGACCATTGGGCTCTTGTTCCTTCTGTAGGAGTGCAGTCTGTGTCTGGCTGCTTTTACAGTTTCATCTTTATCTTTTCAACCTGGCTGTATATTATTGGTCCCCAATCATGCAGAAGATTTAAATGAACTTTAGAGTGAGCGCCAACGTTCCCTACCTCAATTCTCCCATTAGCTTCTTTCCCACACATACTGAGGACAGCGATGAGACTGGAGAAAACAGTGTGGGCATCAGACGTTACCATTCCCTGGGATTCTGAGGATTCAGCCTATATACCTGAGGGTCCACACACAGTCAGCAGGGAAAGTGTGCCCAGTATGTCACAGGCCATGGATCCTAGAAGAAGCAAACTCACCAGAGCTGGGTGATCTGGGCTAAGGCAGCAATTTATTTGTCCGTGTCAAGGGATGAGGAAGAAGGACTCATTTTTGCAGAGAGCATGGTGGACTCTTGAGAAAGTGATGAGGAGGAGCTATACAGGTGTGGAAGCTCTGTGGGGTGAAAGGCCTTAGCTGTAGGTGGGGAGGTAGAGTTACCATAGATCTTTTAGTCTGGAAAAGCCCAGATACTCAGTATCAGGATTTGGAGTCTGGGAGGAAGGTGATAACAATGAAAAGAATCTAATGGCTTCACTCATTTGTCTTTCCATTTAAAGGCATGGATGACAAGAACGCGACGAAGTTGAATGAACTCATTCAGGTTGGGTAAGTCCCAGTGGAATGTACTGTGAGGTGTTCACTCCTGGGAGTACATTTATTGAAATACAGAAGTGAGTGCTTTCTCCACAAGGACCACCACAGTTGGAGCTTCCTGTCCCTCAGGCTTGCCATTCATTTGTGCAAAGGGGGTTCAGCCCGGGGCAGTGACTGTTCCCATGTACCCATGTCTGCAGTTTGATCTGAGCACAGCCAGATTCTCTGCTCTGTCCTTGCCCTGGTATTTACATGTCTTCTCTTTCCCCTTATGTTTTCACCAGTCTCCTGGGCTACTTCCAGTGGCCTCTCTGGCCTCCTCTTGCTCTGGAGCCAGTGCTCCCTGCTTGCTGGCTGGCTGCTCCTCTTCCCTGATTTGCAGAGCTCAACTGTTCTTGCACTCACAAACCACCAGGGTCATGGACTGCTCAGTTGAGGCATGCTCAATCCTGGCTGCTTTTGACCATCTCTGCTTCCAGGGTGTCATTTACACAACGCTTGTTCTGTGAATAGAGCCTGACTGGTCCTCAGGATTTTTTGGTACACTGTCTGGCACTCACTGGCCTAGCCTGTGCAGTTTGCCTTGGAATCTTCTTGAATATTTCTATGTTCTGATAGTCTCCAGAGTCAGCCCCCAAGCTCGGAAGGTGTCAGCATCCTGAACGCTTCAGTTTTATGGCTGCCCTCTGGTTCTCTCTTGAGGCTGTATCAGTACCATCTTCAGCTCCTATCTCACAGCACTTTTTTTTTTTTTTTTTTTTTTGATCAGTCATGGAGCTTGAACTCTGGGCCTGAGCGTTGTCCCTCAGCTCTTCAGCTCAAGGCTAGTGCTCTACCACTTGAGTCACAGCGCCACTTCTGGTTTTCTAGTGGTTTATTGAGATAAGAGTCTCATGGACTTTCCTGCCCTGGCTGGCTTTGAACCGTGATCCTCAGATCTCAGCCTCCTGAGTAGCTAGGATGACAGG